TGCTAAGCCCTTTTCGGGTACAAATTCATCAAGATTAAATAGTAACAATCAGTCTTTGTCTGTGAATAAAAATGTCAGCTTTGTGTCAGCCCAATGTCCTGTACAGCTTATCAACGTCAAAGATGTAAATGGTGATAAAAGGGAGGCATTGGTGTTTGAAGATTCTGGATCAGATGTTTGTTTAATTCGAAAAGATTTTGCACAGAGGCTCGTACTACACGGCGAGGAAATTACCTTGAATATGCTCCTTGCTGGAGGAGAACGGAAAATAGAACTTTCAGAAACGTTTCCTATTACAGTATCGCCTATCGATTATCCATTAGTCGAGAAAAGTTTCAAAGTGTTCGTGGTGCAACAGCCTTGCAGTGATCCGAAGAAGGTTTCTGTAAAATCGTTAGAAAAATTTAGTCACTTAAAACCATTAATTGATAAACTGTATCTAGATGGAGGTAAAATTGACATTCTCATAGGCACTGAATTCTCCGATGCGTTTGTAGATCTTGCGATGAAAGTTGGAGAAAGTGGACAACCAATTGCGAAGAAAAACATTTTTCGGTTGGTACTTGTTAGGCACTATTGACAGTAAAACTGTAAAACTTTTAGTTCACCCTGAAGATCAGAAGTATCATAGATTTCTATGGAGATCTAATCCAAGCCATCAACCTTCTATATACCAATGGATACGGCTAAGTTTCGGTGATAAGCCAGCACCAACGACGATATAGCTGGCTCTAAACTCTCACAAGTTGAAGCTAATAATGTTATAAGTGACATTGACTCAATTCTAAGTGAAGGACACTTTAAAATAAAATGTTGGTATTCTAATAATGAACAAGTAGATCAAGACACATCAGGTGTGGAAACAAGCATTCTTGGACACCGATGGAACAAACAATTTGATACACTTTTTTATTCAGAAAGGATTCGCTTACTGAAGTTATTGGACCCTTTAATAAACATAAATGCCTTGCATCGTTAGCCCAAGTTTGGGATCCGATAGGAATTGTATCAGCAGTAACAATCAAATTTCGAATCGATATGCAAGATTTGTGGGTGCAAGGTTACAACTGGGAGGAAATCCTTCCAGATGACTTACAAACCAAATGGTTCAACAATGTTCAGCTTATGAATGAACTCCTCCGAGTAACTCTAAAACGACAGTTGAAACCAAGCAAGGCCGTAGGAACTCCTGAAATACACGGTTTTTGCGACGGTGGCGAAATGGCCTACGGTGCCATAATAATGTTACGTTGGACTCTCGAAAATGGAGACTTTATGTGTATACCAATTTTAACTAAAGCACTCGTTGCACCATTGAAGAAAAAATCCATAACAAGACTGGAAATGTTAGGATGTTTATTGCTGATCAGAATGTATGAATCTGTTTTAAGGTCATTGATATTTGTTGACGCTAAAAACTTTCTATGGTGTGACCACCGCAAACTTTTCGTCCCTTTGTTTCTGCAAGGGGCGCAGAAATCTAGGAGTCAATCGATGTCAAACTCTTTAGATACGTAATGTCTGTGTACAATCAGGCTGACGCTTTAACTCGTGGAATATCAGTCAATCAACTCTCAGAGTGGCTGGATGGTCCAAGTTTTCTTAAGTTACCAGAATTGGAATGGCCAAATTTCGAGATTAAAATACAGTGTCAAACTGAAGAAACACCCCAAGTTTCAATCCAGTATAAGCCACCCAAAAAGCTGGATAAAGTCACAAGAAATAATGTTACATCAACTCAAACTGCTGTCCAAAATGATCCAGTAAATGAAAATAACATGTTAAGTAACTTTTTAGATAAAACATCTAGTTTCATAAAACTTCGTAGATATATGTGTCATTTAATTAGATTTGCAAAGAGAAATTTCGAGAAAGGACCTTTTACCGTGTCTGAATTACACCATTCTCAAAATGTGTTATTCGAATGGACACATTGTGATCTACCTAAATCAACTGATATTCAAGGAATTACACTTCAACGGGATGGAAATGGTATTATTCGAGCCCACGGAAGATTGGAACAAGTTCGAACTCTGCCTAAAGCTCAAAGAAATCCAATAATATTACAGAAAAATCATCAATTTGTGAATGTAATCCTAGAACACTTGCACCAAAAACGTGGACACTGTGGATATGAGAGGTTAATCGCAGAAGCCAAAAAACAATTTTGGATATTAGGTTTACGGAATACTGCTAAGTCGTTAACAAAAAATTGTATTCCGTGCAGAAAATTAAGGAAAAAGCCAGTGGAACAGTTAATGGGTCAAATCCCAGAACTCAGAGTTGCTGCTGGATTCCCAGCCTTTTACAATACAGCTCTCGATATGTTCGGTCCAGTGTTTATAAAATTAGGAAGGAAAACATTAAAGGAAGCGCAAGTGATAATATTCACACGTTATACATTTGGAATTGGTGTCTGATAAAAGTTCAGATTCATTCCTCATGGCTTATAGGAGATTTTCATGCCTGAGGGGTCAAGCTAAGTGTGTGTGGTCTGATCGAGGAACCAATTTTGTGGGTGCGCAATCTTATTTATGTGAAATTATGGAAAATTTGGATTTAAACAGTGTCAGAAATGTGATAACTCAAAACCATTCTCGCGATTTGAAGTTTAACTGGGATTGGAATATCCCACATGAACGGTGTGGTTGAGAGTCTTATCAAGTCCGTAAGACAAGCCTTTAATGCTACGTGTAAATCACGCGAATACACTGAAGAACAGTGGCACACAATTCTAGCGGAAATAACATTTCTAATAAATTCTAGACCGCTTTATCCTTCTTTAAGTGAAATATTTGAAGATCCTCCAGTTTCCTCCAACGATTTGCTGTATGGATCAATTATAATACCACCACAGCCTAAAGATGAAGATCGTGTTAATCCAAGGAACTTAATTCGTAGCTCACAAGCACGAATAGCTGATTTTTGGTTAAAGTATTTTCCATCTACCCTCCTTCCACGAAACAAATGGCATAAATCAAGAGATAATCTTGGAATAGGAGACCTTGTTTTCGAAATAGATCCTAATAGGAAAAGGGGAGAATGGAAAATGGCTTTGATCAAACAAGTGTATCCAGGATCGGACGGAAAAGTTCAAATTAAAACTCCTGTAGGACTATATGACCGACCTATTCGACCTAAGTTATGTTTAATTGCCACTAATGAGGAACTTACTAGTGCTTAGAGATGTGCAAATGTATTTATTCGTGTGTCATGACTCAAAATTTTACGGAATTTTGTCATTGGGTCCAGGGTGTTCAGAACATTTACTTATTATTTTAGAAATTAATTATGTAAGCCTATTATTATATTAGCTTATTGTTTAGTAACTGACAGAAAGTCGGTGTTTCCCAGTATTTTATTATATTACGTCATGTCTGACGTCGTTAGTTATAAATAGTGACAGTGTAAGATTTAACCAATCAATTCATTCGAAAACATGTGACTGGCGGAATTCCAGAAACATAAAAAGTTGCAATGGTGTGCGTGAACAAACGTGCATGATTCCGATAAACCTTTAAAATAAGGCGACCAAGCCAATTATTAGCCTATTCAAAGTTCCCACAATTAGAGTGAGTAGATTTGCAAATATTCTAGTCTATTATGTATGCATTTTATGTAAATTTAATTAATTTGCTTTATAAACCTAGGCCTAAGCCTAAACTCAATTGTTAACGAAGATTTTCATTTATATTTTCAGTTGACTATATTAAACTACTAAATTACTAATTTCTGCAATACGAAAATCCATATTTGAAAATAAATATTGAAGATTGGAAGCTTGTAGTTTATTGGTGTAGTACAATTCCAGGAACTAGGGCACCCTTCACTTTGTCTCTGATAAAATTCAGAACAAATTCCACAAAATTTTTTACAATCAATATCAATAACCCAAATACAACAAACAATTAAATCAAACAGCTCTAATCAAGGGCAAAAAACAACTTTTAACGCGTGTTTACAAAGTCAAGGGCAATAACTCAAAAAATGTTCATCAAAAATATCTCTTGTTAGAATTTGTCCGAGATGTTATCAATTCCAATGATCACACCAAGTTTCATCAGAATCGGTTGAAAACTATAGCCTCTATTGTGCTCACAAACAAATTTTGACGCGTTTTTAGTAAGTTTATAGCATTAACTCAAAAACATTTCATCGAAAATGCGTCAAGTTAGAACTTGTCTGAGATCTTATCAATTTCAATGATCACACCAAGTTTCCTCAGAATCGGTTGAAAACTGTAGCTTCTATTGTGCTCACGAACAAATTTTGACGCGTTTTAACAAAGTCAAGGGCAATAACTCAAAAAATGTTCATCAAAAATGCGTCAAGTTAGAACTTGTCCGAGATCTTATCAATTCCAATGATCACACCAAGTTTCATCAGAATCGGTTGAAAACTGTAGCTTCAATCCTGCTCACGAACTATTTTTAACAAATTTCAACACTTTTTAACAAAGTCAAGGTCAATAACTCAAAAACAGTTCATCAAAAACAGTTCATCAAAAATGCGTAAAGTTAGAACTTGTCCGAGATCTTATCAATTCCAATGATCACACCAAGTTTCATCAGAATCGG